GCTCGTGGGTCTGCTGTATGCAATTACATCGACTAACAAAAGGAAGTGCAGTATACATTTAAAGTCATACAGAAGAACCTAATGAATATAGGCGGTGACCACTGCCCCTTCAAGGGTCCATGGAGTGAGAAAAAGACTTCTTCATAAAGCTGTGTAGGCACTACACTGAGGTCGGGAGTTTTCTGAAAGTTGCCAAGAAATATTTGGACATAGTCTCAGATCTTTTCTGAAGTGTTGGTTTAACCATAGTAAGATCACATCATTAAATGTGTAAATTATTGATTTTATAAGTTTATATAAAAGTGTTTGCATCTGAGAAAAGTGACTGATAAATGATAAATGCAACAAAAGAAAGACGACTGTTTTTTGCACATTCTTGGGTGGAAATGTTTTAACCAACAAGCCAGCACAGTATTTTAGGTAAACACATTTGTATATGTTTAGATGTGCTATTTGATCCGATCTGCTAGTAAAGGTTGAAGAACTTTAATCACATTTGAATTGTTATTTGAAAGGAAGTTGAAAGTTTCCACAAAAGCAAAGAGAATCACTAAAAATGTATAAACTAAACTGATTTAAGTTTACTCAAATAGAAATATATATTCAATTCAAATTGATGAATTAATTTAACTCATATTTTAGGTGGATTCAGCTTTTGATAAAATATTTTTACATTTTTGATTTCAAGTCAAAAGAAATTGAAAGACCATTTTGCCTTAACTAGATAATATCACAGGAACTGAATTGTGATTTAAAGTTTTGTTAACTTCAAGATTTAAGTACAAGTGACTTGATGTCAAGTTAAGTTGACTAGAAAATTGTATTTCTTTGGCATAATCACAAATGTGTCTCAACATATCTCTTTAAGTTCAGTTAACTTAAAATGTAAAGGCAGCCCGGACACCAACTTTTTTAAGTTATAGCAACTACGTTTTTTTTTTTACAATGTACTTGAGCACATCACATATTTATGTTCACACTACTCACTAAAACAGACAATTTTAGTATCACTAAATTTCGAGATCTGAAGATAAACCTGCAGATCTTCGTTAGGAAATGTTTTCCTGCAGTGTCACGTCAGACAAGCAAACGACAATCCTTCCAGGGGTCAGAAATCTGTGAGGTCAAAGAGGTCAAGGCTGCAGACTCTTGTTGTGCCAGTTCACCACAAGATGTTTGTGAGAAAGGAAAAAGAAAGGAAACAAGGATGTGCTAAATGCTGAGGATAGTCTAGATCTATGCACAAAATAATTGATGAATCAAATGATATTTTGAATCAAGTGACATGACAGCCTGTGTGTCTCAGTGCAGATAAGATATTTGCTATCAATGTAATCAGTCTAATTGCTTCATTTCCTTGTTCACAGTGTTTATGTGTTGTCTCCATTAAGCCGTGTCATTCCACAGCTCTAATAAACAACCTGTTGAGGCCGGGCCAGACTGTAAATACCAGAACATCTATTTGCAGTAAATCAGTGTTATTTACTACTCCGTTCACGCACCTTTGTTTCTGCAGAGGCGGCAGTGACGTGTTCAGGGAGTCAGATAAAGGGTATTTCTCACCAACTCTTTCCTGTTATTTTCCAGGGTCCTTTGTTTGGTTGCGAGGCCTCGGTCCGTCGGTTCTCAGGGGAATGAGAGGAACATTTGAGCCGGAGCACTTGTGAACACGCCGGTCCTCAAAAGTGGACTGCTCCCATACCTGTCTGTGTCACCGTGTGTGTGTGTGTGTGTGTGTGTGTGTGTGTGTGTGTGTGTGTGTGTGTGTGTGTGTGTGTGTGTGTGTGTGTGTGTGGTAGTGATTGTTTGTGTGAGTGTCCCCTCGTCCTTGGGTTGATGGGATACATCCCTGCAGTGATAAATATCTATTCAGGGAACTCATGGGGCCGGAACACCTTTCAAAAGTTGTGTTTCTTGTACAAAATGTTAGAAACAACTAAATAATTTCACTTTTATTAAAAAAAGCGGTGGTTTAAATTTATAATTGTTTCAGTGAAAGAATAAAAGAGAAGAATAACTCCTTTATTGATTCAGAATTTTATACTGTGGGTTTTAAAGAAGAAAAAAAAGGCTTCTTTAGGAAAAATAAATATTGCAATCTATTATTGACTGAGGAGATTCATTTATTACTTTTTATGCATAAGCAATGTAAAAACGTTTTCCCTATATTTCTTGTTTATAAGTGCATAAAAAATGTATATCTACCTCGTCACAGTGACCGCAGCGTGTTTGTTGACGTGTGCGTAGGTGTCAGGCCTTCATATAAATACAAATTCAATCAAGCGGATAGGAAGCTTCCTCTTCCAACAACCAGACAAAGGAAGTTTTTTGTGTCACTTGTAAATTCCAAGCTTTTGGAGGGTCTCCTGAAAAAAACAACACGCTTTTAAATTCCCGTCCTCTGCAGACACAACAACAACAGGAAGAAGGGCCATTTTCACAGGTGTCAGGAAGCAAGGGGAAATAAACAAGCTGAATACTGGAAAAACATTTTTTTTTTTCGTTTTGTACCAGTAAGAGTCAGAGGTGAGGCTCATAAGAGATATTTTTAGACGGGACAGGAATATGTACGCAATCTGGGCTGAAATATTTGAATCTGATGTTTTGCACTTTGATACTGCATATGTATTTGTATTATATAATAATGAATTAACAAAAGATTAAACATTATGTTTGAGTGTTCATTCTAACATTTTAAGAGTCTAAATAAAAAAGAAAATGAATAGTTAATCAAATATCTACAGTGCATTTATCACAGACCAAAGTATAGATATCTTATAGTATAAGATATTTTCTGTTATCCAATCCTTTGATTTTTTTTTAAGGTAGTCTGACATTCATAATCAAATGATTTGAGACTTGGAATGAGATTTACTGCATGTTCTTGAAAGGCTGTATACTATGTCTGGACATTTAAAGTCCATCTTATACATTCTAAAACAGTGGTTCTCAACTGGTGGGTCAGGACCCACAAGAGGGTCTAAGAGTTGTTTTCAGGGGTCGCGAAAGTGTCAAGAAGTCTACAAATCACTTTTAAAATGTGTTTGTTATAAAAATGGATCGTCTCTTCATCTGTTATATGTTTTTACTGTCTGAAGTCCAAACTGCTCCATTTTTCATAAAACAAATCTCGGCTGACGTGATCTCCTCAGGCAGGTCGTTCCATAGTTTTGGATCCCTCACGGCAAACGCTCTACCCCCTTTAGTTTTTAGTCTGGAATTTGGAACGACCAGAAGACCTCTGCCTGAGGATCTCATGAAACTTGGTACGGCTGAGAAAAGAGTTCAAAGATTTTTGAAAGTGTTCTTCCAGTGAGTTGAAGGTCTCACGTGCATTTCTGAACAAAGACCCTCAGCATTGTCTGGATTCATTTCTGTTCATGGCTTTTGTTTTTCACTTTGTTTTCCAAACAAGGATCAGTGGCTCCATGTAGATACATATTCCATCTGAAGCCAGTCTCTCCTCTTCAGTCCTTTCTCATGCTATTAGTGGTTGAATATTTTTACATTCCTGAGATTTCTTTTCTGCATGGGAATAAAGAATATTTTGCCATTTGTGGAGATATGGAGGGCATACCAGGACTTAAGAGTCAAGGATGCCCGAAGAATTCTCAGCACTTCTAACCACTTGAGTTAGTTTTGCAGTTTGTATATCACATCATCATGGGAAACAGAAATCCCTTCATACTTTCATGCATTCTTTTTAACATTTTCACTGCTCAGAGAAGCCTTTTCCATCTTCCTTCAATCAATCCTTTTTTTTTTTTTTTGCCCTGAAAAGTTTATCAAAGAAAATCAAAATCTCCTTTTTTTTTTCTGAACTTCTTTCAGAATTTTATTTGCATCAATTTGAGGTCCAAAACGTCCAGGTGCTTCACATCTTCAGGACTCTTTTGACAAATACAACTAGAATTTGATTTGGTTTGATTTGATTTGACATAAACTAAACAAAACCACATCCAGGAGGTTTAAAGCAAAAACATTTATTCCAGCATGGTCTCAAGATGTTAAAAGACAGAACTTCCCATTAATTCAACAGCTGACCCCAAATCTTTATCAACTCACTCGCCTGCTGTATAGATTACCATTTCCAGATTTATGCTTTTATTTTATATATTTTGTTCATGAATTTAACGCTCCTCTGCAGAGCAAAATCTGCCTGCAAGTGTTAGACATCAGACTCCTGTGAATCCCACAACTGAGCCTTCAAAGTAAAGAGCCTGAGATTATACTGAGAACATGAAAGTGAAAAATAATCTGTGTTCTTGAAGTCGAGCATGTAAAACTGGTTAAATCCAGCCACAGGCTCACAAATAAAGGCTGCTGAAGAAGTGAGAAAATAACCTGAAATGAACAGCCCTGATAATGTGTGAGACTTTGCAACAAGTCTCCACATGCTGACATTTTACTTTTTTATTCTTTTATTCCATTTTAAAGTCATACTTACTCTTATATTACACTTTACTCCTTTTAATTGATCAATTGAAGTCTTTTTTAGTCATGGGTCTTTAAGTGCACTTTCATTTGTTAAGATGCAGACATTTATAAATCACTATAATAAACCAAACTGCATTAATAGTCTGCTTTATATTCCACTCATTAAGATGCCTTTACATTTTTTTTCTAAAACATGAACACAGCTAAAGCAGCTTCATTTTTTTCAACATTTATTTTGGGGCTTTTTGTGCATTTATTAGAGAGATAGGACAGTGGATAGAGTTGGAAATCGGGGAGAGAGAGAGAGAGTGGGGAATGACATGCAGGAAAGAAGCCACAGGTCGGACTCAAACCCGGGCAACACGCTTGGAGGACTACAGTATATCCTCCATACATGGGACGTACAACCTAACCACTAGGCTACTGGCACCCCCCCAGCTGCACTTTTTAACTACATAGTTAACCCCCTCTATGTCAAGGATTCAAGATAAGACAGCTTTCCGAATGACAAATTACTCGATCAGTTAGTTGATAGATTAGCATTAAAAATCAAATCACAACACTCAGTGGTAACTTTGGTTTAATTGTAAGAGCATTCTTTACATTGGCTGGTGTCATATACATGATATTCAACATGCCGGCTTTTTACAGTACAAACAAAATATATTTGTTGAAAACTCACTACAATAAATCAATGAGAAATATTGCGGTGTCTTCAACAATAATGAGAAGAGAAAGGGATCTGCTGCAGCTAATGGGTACAGATGAAGGGATTATTTGAATTAATTGAATCCAGAAACAAATGAAAAACAATAAAAGTCAGAGCAAAACCTTTAAACCAATAACATATTTCATCTTCCTATTCCATTAGAAAAAGATGATGTGTCAAACAAGGAGCAAACAAACCAGGTAAAGCTTTTAAATGCTGTAAAAAAAAAAAAAAAAAAAGGAGTTGACATCATTGTTTAAAATAATAAAATATATCTTTCAGTTCATTTATAAGTTAATGCTACATTCACACTGAACAGAATCCATCCTCTCAGCACTTGTCAGCGAGGGTTGAGCCTCTTCGGGGCTGCGGATCTGTCCGTGTGCTGATCTGTGCTTTGAGCAGTGCTGACCTCTCCGGAGCCCAACTCTCCCCCTGAAAAACAAAACAGCGTTTAATCCATGCGACTGTGCAACCTCACAAATGACATCAAATTCTGTCCATTTTATGAATGCAAATACAGGTAGGCCTATGTACATAACATTTGACATTTTTCAGTGTCAAAATGTTTTACCTGTTTGTGGCTCGGTCCTGAGCTTGTTTGCAATTTTGGCAAAGAATTTGAGGGTGAGACAAGCTCCTGTCTCCCTGTCACATATGCCACCTTTACAGTTGCATGTCTTGCGGCACTCAACTCCCCATGTCCCATACAGGCAGTCTGTGGAGCAAAAACATTTAGAGTAGTGTCAGTTAAATTCACAGAGGAAGAAGAGAAATGGGAGTTCTATTTAATAGTGTTACAGATGCATATTCATACTTCACATAATGATAATCAACGTTAAAAACAAAGGGGTGTTATATACACAAAAGAATGCAAATGAGCAGTTACAGGAGCATTGATGGTTGGTTGACAAACTCCAAGCCTCTTATGGTCAAAGCATCTCTTCTTACATTTAAAGCACCATCTGCATGTCTGCAAATATGTTGACAATGCAATCAATAGATCCTAAAATACTGTAAAAACATAAAGGGGTTTGGTGCAGCAGGGCATCATATGTCCCAAATGCAGCATGCAGGCACATGAAAATGTTGAATGTAATCGTACCTTTGCAGATGCCATACTCGTCTCCATAATCGTCCTCATCCTTGTAGAACTCGCAGAATAATCCGGGTCCGCACTTCACTCCGTGCATCCCCGACACGGTGCGGTAACAGTGCTCTCCTCTGCCGGCTGCACACACCTGACAACAGCCGCAGTCATCCAGGACGGTCCGTGTGCAGCGCTGCGTCCCGCCGCACCGCTCCGCGTTGCATCTGTCCGGACAGTTCACCGCGTACTTGACATTGTTGCCCCACGCCTCCGCATGTTGCACTAGAAGCGAAGACAAAACTGTGAGGAGGAGTAAAGACATGGCTGGATGCAAGGAGAGCGCCTGGAGGACTGCTGAGTTTTCGATACAGAGACAGAGATGCGGAGCACCTCTGGGAGCAACGTGCAGAGTGACCTGTGGTGCATCAGGTTGTACGGTTATCAGCAATGAACAACTTTGTTTTGCACATGACTTACCCTCGTCAATTTCCTCATTCCGGTGTTGTCGTCCTTTTGGCCAGTCAGCCCCCTTTTTAGAAATCCGGCCTGGAAGTGGGATTTACTCTGCACCGCCGTTCAGGAATTGAAATGCGTGTGACATGATGTCACAAGTTATCTTTGGTTTGTTTTTGTCTTAGTTAGTAAGTGACGGCACCCCCAAACATCCCATTGCATCAGGTTTGTCGTGACTGGCTTGGATTTTAAAGGATTACATTTGATGTAGGATGTTTTCAGTCACAACAAGATTGCAAAACAACTTTGAAAACATTTAACACAATTAAAAAATACATCTATTTTGATGTATAAAAAACACAATACAATAAAAATAAATGGCCAAGACAACACAATATAAAGAATTATGAATAAATAAGTAGAAATAAAAATAGAAATAAAAAATCCTTAACAAAAAGAGCAGGATCTATTTCAATCAATCAGAAAAGAGAACACAATATAACTTCCTTATGTAGGGATTATTATCATTGACAGACTTGCATTAATACTTACCATCCATTATGCAAAAAACACTTTTTCAATGTTTTTTCGAACATTCATATGGCCCTAGCTAGCCTACAAACCCCTGATTATGAGAAAAGTCCATCCTCTCTGTCTTTTGCCTGCTTCACTTTTCAGAAAGTGTGTGCTCAAACAGGCCGTTTTGAGATTTTCCCTTTGTGACATCACAAAGGGCAGTAACCCCTCCCCCAGGTGGGTGACACTTCTACAGCTAGGTGTATGATAGGTGCTGCCTTCTCACCGTAAACAATAGGGCATGGTGCAAGACAGCCCAAGCGGTTCCAGAGAAGGGCGTGGTCAAACCTGCATTTAAAGCCATAGACACAGAAACAGTCTGTTCTGAACAGGGCTGAAATAGAGGAGTTTATAGGCATAAGGCTAAAATAAAGGATCAGAGTAGATTTTGATCAAGACATTGTCTGTACATGTTTATCTTAATGTGTGAAATGTTTTGTGTTAGAGATAAATATGTTTAAAGATTTTCCACTTTTTTTTCTCTCTTGTGGTTTTTAATTCCCATTTTCAGGGTGTAACACAAAGTTTATATTTTTAAATTTTAATGGGGCATAGACATAACAGAGATGTAATGGCATGTGTTCTCCACTGGAGGGGCACCCAAAAGGCCCTTAGGTAAAGTTTGATTTGCTGAAAAAGCAGCTCTTCGGTTCATCACTTTTCTTCTCTGGAATGCAACTTTTAAAGCAACTCATTACAATGCTTGATTGTGTTTCATCTGCCATAAGGGGAATCAAACATTTTTGCACCATTTTTCTCTCTAAGGTTAAGGGTTGCTACAGTGCAATTCAAACATCAGCAAGCAGAACCAAATAAATAAAAACATGTAACCAAAAGTAACATGTAACAACACTATTTCAATCTTGAGTGTCTGTTGTTTTCTTCTTCACTTTCTTAACATTTTTTAAAATAAGTAAAGGTGTTTTTGTTAATTTTTTATTTAAGTTAATCAATTGATAATGCAGAAAAATATAACATTATATAATCATTAAACCACACACAACTAAAGAAACAATCAAGCAATTTATTTGTGCAATTCCATAATGTTGGGAAATTCACAAGATGTGTTTATAGTCCTTTAGGGGCTCAGGTCCATACTGCTGGATTTCCCTTAACTCAACATTAAAAAATGTTTTTTTTAGTTTCTACCTTGTCATTTTTTTTGTCTGTGTCAGGCTAGATTTAAAAAAAAAAAAAAAAAAAAAAGAGGAAATACTAAAGCAGGATGAATAAGCAAATGATTACGTTGTCGGTCATGCTGATAATGCCTGCAGTTCAAACTCCTGGACACAGGGCGGCGTCGCTGGTGGCCACCGTTGTTTGACCATCCAAACACACGAAGAAGAAGTAGGAAAGAGGAGAAGGTTGATATGATATTCACGTCCAAGGGAGACCTCACTGGGACGGGACAGGTAACGCAAACCATCTAACGGCGAGGGGGGTTTTACCAGTCAAGGTAACTAACACGTCCGCACTCTATTGTATTGTAACAATACCCAGCTTGACATGCAGTTAACCAGCCGCGGTGGTGTTTTGCTTCGAGCTGTCAGCCAACCAGCGGAGGGGCTTGGTCGGGGAGGAGGTGGGGGGGGGGTTTGACAGCCATGGGAGCAGACTAGCAACTGCACTGCAGCCAGCGTTAGCTCAGCTGTCAACGGTAGATGCAGATAAAAAAAAAATATTACCGGTGTTTGTGAATGTCACGGCGGAGACTGCGTTTTAATGTCACACATTTTGGTTGCAGCAAATGGTTATTATAACGTAACGACCGTTAGACAGGAAAAATCATGTAGGCGCTGCGAAATGTTGACAGATGCTTCAAAGTGAAAAAGGCAGAGATAGCGGAGCAGGACTGTGTCATTAATTGTGAATTCATTTTAAGATGTTTTTTTTGGCTTATTCGCGTTACTTCTCATACGATATTATAAGTGAACTAACTGTCTTTTAGATTCCCCCCATACCCAAAGAAACTCAAGATAACCATTATATGCAGGCATAGGTCATTCAGGTGTCAGGAACCACCTTGTCTGACTTAAGTCAAAGTGATTAAGGAGTCTAGAGGTAGCCTACTCCCAAATAGCTGAGCTTCTTACCCTTGGTGAAGATTGAGGCAGACTATCCTGCAGTATTTTTATTTTTATTTATTTATTAGCACATATAAGAATACATCAAAATAGGATTAACAAAGGTGAAGATTGAGGCAGACTATCCTACAGTATTTTTATTTTTATTTGTTTATTAGCACATACAAGAATACATCAGAATAGGATTAACAAAGGTGAAGATTGAGCCCGACTATTCTGCAGTATTTTTTATTTTTATTTTTATTTATTTATTAGCACACATATAAGAATACAATCAAAATAGGATTAACAAAAACATAAAAGGTGTGTCAGGAGAGGTCAAGAAGCCAACAGGCGTATACAAGGGACCTCACCTCTTAAGAGACAAATAAATCAACTACACAAATCGAATTACACAATTTCAAAACATAAACACATATACAGTAACTTATACACGTATTCATACACACACACTTAGACACATACAACAATAGAAAGACTGAGAATGTTAACCCTCTATCAGCTAAATGAAACAGGCATTGATCTATTAAAAATGGAGTGAATGAGTGAGTAGTTTACACTTTACTCTTATTATTTTGGCCTACATTTACCAAACAGATATTTTAATGACACGAGGGGTATGATTTCTGACTTTCTTGGAACATAGTAAATTTAAAATCTTTGAGTTTTGGAAGAAAGAAGAACAACAAGTAAAAGTCTGATTCACATCAAGTTGTGATGGAGATTTTTCTCTATTTTTCTTTCATTTTATTCATTAGTGATCAATAAATGAAAACAAAACTTACCTCTTTTTACTCCCAATGTTTATATTTTAGTTTCATTATAATTCACAGACATGGTGCAATAAATTGTATTGCTTCATCCTATCATTGTTGTGAAATCTAACAGGAAAATTATGACGAAAGTAAGTGACTCCACATGTCTGCTTGAAAGTGTGACCCAGTTCCAGTCAGCCCTATCTTATCACTGACATTTACTTTCCTATTTTCATACAAGATACTGCATGCAGTCAAAGTCAGTGTTTTAATACTACTGGTTTAATTTAAGCTTCAAGACCAACACATGACTCCTATATGATTTTATAGCTTACTGGCAAGTTGCTCGTCTTAATTTGTCATCGTAATTAATAACCCGTAATACAATATGTTTTTATGTCTGTGTATATAAATAGAACTCCAGGTCCACACTTCACTCCGTGCATCCCTGACACGGTGTGGTAATAGAAAGATAGTCTGGTGTTTGTGAGCTTTAAAGTGAATGGTTAAAAAAAAAGAGTCTGAAACGAGCTGAGCTAGAAGAAAAAAAGAAAGTCAAACCTAGGCCAAGAGGTGTTCTGAATGTTAATTTCCCGCAATTTAAGAGTTGCATTTCTGGTGGTTGCTGGCTGGAGGCTGTCTCACCAAAGAGCTCATTACTATATCAATGCTTGATGTTATTTTTGGCCAAAGTAGAAACCATATAGCCCCACAGGCCTCAGGCAAGGGAAGACGGATGAGGCTCTGTGACTGTGGAGAATGGTCAAAGTGGCATGCTCGCATGTTGTGCAGCCTGTAACTAGCATTCTCTCACTCCTCTGACATTTTGTGCTGTTTTGGTTCACGTTTTAATCATGGGAAGATTCTAAGCCAGGATTGAAGAGTATGGAAATTTGTGTTTTATGACTGAACAACTAATTTAACCAATTACTATACTTCAAACCCAGTGTTTTAGTTAAATATAATCCATGATATTTTTGGGTCTGTATAGCACATCATGTGTATTTTTAATGACAGGCCTATGTTTCCTTTGGATTTCTACATCTTGCATTGTGGATATGAAATCCTCTCTTTTACATAGTTAACATTTTGTTAGATGAGATAAGATTTCAGACTTCCAATTTGTGATAGTTTTTCATTAACTTTTCCATCAATATTCAATATTATACTATTGTAATAGTGCCAATAGAATGAAGTGAGTGGTGAGATTTTCCTAGAAAGGTAACAAACAGGACTCCTTAAAGCTCATGTGAGGAGCTTTAAGATACAAAATCAATCAAAGGATGTTATTATCATCACATGCTGTAACATTTTAATCTCAACTACAAATTGGGCTACATGGTTGTCACGTGGCTGAGTCCAGATAAAAAAAAAAACATTGATTGATTTGCTTAGGTAAAGAACCAAAAAAAACAAATCTGTCTATGTCATTGCTGTAAATGTATGTCATTTCCACTCAATGGCAACAAGACACCTTCTCTGTATTTGTTTAGAAAGCAGAGGGAAAAAATTCAGACAGACTGAGGGTGAGGTGGAGCCACTGTGGTCTTGTGTTTCACAGCATTAGGTGACAGAATTGGAGACTTTGGCTAT